TTATATGAATAAATATAAATTAAATAAATGACTCTGATTGGCTAGCTGATTAATTCTTTTTTCTGATTGGCTAGCTTATTAATGCTGGTTCTGATTGGCTAGCTTATTGCTGGCACTGATTGGCTAGATGATTAATGCTTTTTATGAATGCTAGCTGATTACTGCTTTTTATGAATGCTAGCTGATTAATGCTGGTTCTGTTTGACTGGCTTATTGCTGGCTCTGATTGACTATCTGATTCATGCTGGCTCTCATTGGCTAGCTTATTGCTGGCACTGATTGGCTAACTGATTAATGCTTTTTCTGATGAGCTAGCTGATTAATGCTCACTCTGATTGGCTAGTTGATTAATGTTCGCTCTGATTGGCTAGCTGAATAATTCTTTTTTTTGATTGGCTAGCTGATTAATGCTGGTTCTGTTTGGCAAGCTCATTGCTGGCACTGATTGGCTAGCTAATTAATGCTTTTTCTGATGAGCTAGCTGATTAATGCTCGCTCCGATTGGCTAGCTGATAAATTCTTTGTTCTGATTGGCTAGCTGATTAATGCTGGTTCTGTTTGGCTAGCTTACTGCTGGCAATGATTGGCTAGCTGATTAATTCTTTTTCTGATGAGCTAGCTGATTAATGCTCGCTCTGATTGTCTAACTGATTAATTCTTTTTTCTGATTGGCTACCTGATTAATGCTTTTTCTCATGAGCTGGCTGATTAATGTTCGCTCTGATTGGTAGCTGATTAATTCTTTTTTCTGACTGGCTAGCTGATTAACGCTCCCTCTGATTGGCTAGTTAATGAAGTCTTGCTCTGATTGGCTAGCTAATTAATGCTGGATCTGATTGACTAGCTGATTCATTCTGGCTCTGATAGGCTAGCTGATTAATTCTAGCTCTGATTGGCTGTCTGATTAATGCTGGCTCTGATTGGCTCACTGATTAATGCTTTTTCTGATCAGCTTGCTGATTAACGGTGGCTCTGATTGGATAGCTAATTAATGCTGGTTCTGTTTGGCTAGCTTATTGCTGGGACTGATTGGCTATCTGATCGACGCTGGTTCCTATTGGCTAGCTGATCGACGAAAAGGTCCAGAGAGCAGAGAGATGCTGCTGGTTCTGGTTTCTAACTTCGCTGCATTTGATCTGAACTGATGACAAGAGGAACCGTTGACCTCTGACCCCCAGGACAGGTCACATGATCTCTAACAGCATTCTGGGTCAGGAACATTCAGTGACTCACCTGGCAGGAAATAACCTTCAAAATGATATAAAAGACCCGCACAGACGATGAGAACCAGAACCAGCAGAACCAGCAGAGTTGAGGCCCAGGATGGAAACGGTTCTGTGGAAAAACAGAGAAACATTGACCTCACTCTGACCTTTGACCTTTATCAGCAGGTCTGACCTGATGCTCTGACCTTTCTTTACATATNTGATTAATGTTCGCTCTGATTGGCTAGCTAATTAATACTTTTTTCTGATTGGCTAGCTGATTAATGCTGGTTCTGTTTGGCTAGCAGATTAAATCTAGCTCTGGTTGGCTAGCTGATTAATTCGACGTCAGACTGGCTTGCTGATTAATGCTGGTTCTGTTTGGCTAGCTTATTGCTGGCATTGATTGGCTACCTGATTAATGCTTTTTCTGATGAGGTAGCGGATTAATTCTCCCTCAGATTGGCTAGCTGAAAAATTCTTTTATCTGATTGGCTAGCTGATTAATGCTGGTTCTGTTTGGCTAACTTATTGCTGGAAATGATTGGCTAGCTCATTAATGCTTTTTCTGATGAGCTAGGTGATTAATGCTTGCTCTGATTAGCTAACTGATTAATGTTTTTTTTTTTTGATTGGCTAGCTAATTAATGCTGGTTCTGTTTGGCTAACTTATTGATGGCACTGATTGGCTACCTCATTAATGCTTTTTCTGATGAGCTAGCTGATTAATTTTCACTCTGATTGGCTAGCTGATAAAATCTAGCTGTGATTAGCTAGCTGATTAATTCTCCCTCAGATTGGCTAGCTGTTTAATGCTGGTTCTGTTTGGCTAGCTTATTGCTGGCACTGATTGGCTAGCTGATTAATGCTTTTTCTGATGAGCTAGCTGATTAATGCTCGCTCTGATTGGCTAGCTGATTAATGCTGGTTCTGTTTAGCTAGCTCATTGCTGGCAATGATTGGCTACCTGATTAATGCTTTTTCTGAAGAGCTAGCTGATTAATGTTCGCTCTGATTGGCTAGCTGATTAATGTTTTTTTTTTGATTGGTTAGCTAATTAATGCTCGCTCTGATTGGCTAACTGATTAATGTTTTTTTTGATTGGCTAGCTAATTAATGCTGGTTCTGTTTGGCTAACTGATTTATGTTTTCTGATTGGCTAGCTGATTAATGCTGGTTCTGTTTGGCTAGCTTACTGCTGGCAATGATTGGCTACCTCATTAATGCTTTTTCTGATGAGCTAGCTGATTAAT